CATTCGTGAATATATGCATTGCCGGCGAAGCGGGGAGCCTGACGACTCAGAAATTTGAATACCACATTGGCATGGCGTGTGACCTTATGGAGACTGACATGTCGGAGTCGTTGAAAGATCTGGGTTCCAAGGGCCCATTATGGATGATGGCACACTTACCTCAGGCAGTCTCTGCTGGAGCTAATTCCCCCTAGTTTACCAAAGTCTGTGCTTGGCTGGTGTCTGAGTTAAGAGTACTCTGTAAACTAGAGGAAAATGTGCAAGCAACTAACAGTCCAAGTGAAACTGAGGAGTTCCAGCTTGAGGTGAGTGGGCTGCTAGGGGAGATGAACTGCCTGTATCTTTCCTTCACATCTGGGGATGTGACCAAGCGCCTGCTCATTCAGAAAAACTGCTTCCTTCTGCACATACCTCATCTCAGAACTAGAAGCTGCCAGAATGTTCTGTGTGAATTCTCCAAAAAAATCTCAAGGAGGCGGTAGTGAGGTCTTTCAAGAGTTGAAAGGCATATGTATTGCTCTAGAAATGTCCAAACCTCCAGCCGATGTAACTGTGTTCTAATTCTTCAGCAGGATTGAGAAAAAATTAAAGGAAACATTAGCAAAAGTTCCACCTAATCATGTGGGAAAGCCTTTATTGAAGAAGTCTATGGGACCATTACACTGGGAAAAGATAGAGACAATTAATCAGGCAATAGCCAATGAATATGAAGTCCAGAGGAAGATGTTAATAAAACATTTGGATGTCACCGTACAGTCCTTTGGCTGTTCTGACACAACTAAGAGTCAGACAAAAGTTAGCCAGGGTTTACCAGCCGAAGCGTTCAGTCTTATCTCCTAAAAGAACTGTCTCCGGTGCCCATCTCTTGGCTGCAAGACAAGACTTGTCAAAGATTTTAAGGATAAGCAGTGGTTCTATAAGAGAAAAGACTGTCTTTGCCATCAAAACACCCTGATGGGCAGGGTGCCTGACAAGTGGTAGATCCAATGAAATTGAACCTCCACCCCCAGAGATGCCACCATGACAGACGAGGCAAGATGGCCCCCAACAGCAAACAGGAAGCCGAGGAGGAGGGAGAGGTGGTTATGAACATTCATCATATGGAGGCCGAGGAGGTCATGAACAAGGAAGAGGGAGAGGTGGACGTGGTGTCTATGAACCATGGTGGCTGAGGGGGAGGAAGAGGAAACAAGCATCAAGGAGGATGGACAGATGGAGGGATTGGAGGAGGAGGTAGCTACCAAGATGGTGATCGAGATTCAGGTTTCCAGCCAGGTGGCTATCATGGTGGCCACAGCAGTGGCTATCAAGGCAGTAGTTATGGTGGCTTCCAAACATCTTCATATACAGGAAGTGGATACCAGGGTAGTAGATGCTAGCAGGACAATAGATACCAAAATGGTGAGCACCATGGTGATCAAGGTAGTGGTCATGGCGGGAGAGGTGGTCGCGGAGGCCGGGGTGGGCGTGGAGGGTAGGGAAGAGGGTGGGAAGGAAGGGGGAGCCAGACTTACCACCAAAGAGGTCAGTTTGTACAGTACTTCCAGCATGGAGGCAACCAGTATAATCATTCTGGATTTGGACAGGGAAGAGATTATACCAGTTGAGGCTACAGAACCCTACATTTTACCAGAGTTCAAGTAATAGAAACTTAGTTCCACAATCCTGAATCTATTTTGAATTAATATGAGACCACAGGTGGCAAAAAACACATCTCTCTTTCTATGAAAAAAAAATTTAAGGTCATTAAAATTGTCTTTTAATTGATCAGTAGACTGATTTCACAGTCAGAAAATGCATACTTTTTTGAAGAAAATACTTGAATAAAGTGGTTTTCATGTTTTCAGTATGCAGTTTTGAAAGTGAGGATTCACCTAGACTTTTTAGATTTACAACTGGGAACCTTCCTCATACTAACAATCCACTCGTGCTTTGAGTGAGGTGTCCTAATGTTTATTTTCCAAGCACAGTTCTGCCCTGATTGGCACTAAAAAAAAATTCAGAGAGGTTGTGCCACATTTGCTTTGTGATAGAACTGGTAAGTGAGTTCCTATTAAATGAGCTCTTCTTCAGTAGCCCTATTCTGTTGATGAATACTGTACCATGTGCTCAACTCTAAAACCCGACACAGCCAAAATCCATAAAGACTATAAAAGCACACTAAGTTGTGAACCTATAGTACATGTAGGCATTTAGTTAAGTATAGCAACTCAAACTGACCCGCATCCATCCAAAACAAGTTCTTCAGTAGATTTTATTTTTACTTGAAATCTGCTAGAAGAAACAGCATACCAAAATTTGTTTTGTGCACGAGTTAATACCACTGGCTCAGCAAATACAAGTTAGTTTGCTTTAGGCAGAAGACTTACCTTGTAATCTTAGAAATGCACTACACAGTAAGCTAGAGTTTTCCTTAGTACAGGATGCCCTTTACTATGGCTGCAGAAAACAAAAACCTGGCTGAGTTGATGTTTTCCATTCTCCTTTACCGAAATGTACATGACATGATGCATCTTGCTGGGTTTTTGTGTCCTTAGACATTGTTAAGCTGTAAAAGAAAATGGCTGGAAGTGTACTTTGTGTGAAAGATGAGCAATAAAGTATCTGTATGTTCAAAAAAAAATTAAGTGACCATAAATGTGAAGGTTTATTCTAGACTCTCAATATCTATTACATATGTGTGTATATATGTATGTTCATATGTATTCCATTTGTGTACATGGCCTTGCACTTATCTATCTATCTATCTAGGTAGATAGATAGATAAACATAATGTATATAGATATATGCATCATTAAGGAATAAGTGCATTCTTTTTACTCATTCTACAAAGATTTGTTAGGTACCTCTATAGGCCAAGCACTGTGCTTGACATATCCATGTTATTTTCTTTTGGAAACCAAATTACTGCTCTTCAAAGCCCAAGTTTTATTTATTTATTTTTAAATATACTCCTTTCTTTAATTTTCTAATACCATATTAGTGCTGTACTGGGAATGTATTATGATGTTTATAAAACTGCTAACAATATATCTTAGTTAAATTCATCCCCTCCATCATTCTCCTTTATCCCCATTCCCTCCATTCTTAGAATAGTTTCAACAGATCTCATTTTCCACTTTCATACATGAGTACATACTATTTCCACCATATTCACCCTCCTGTACCCTTTCCTTATATCCTCCCCCCTCCCACTGGTACCAACCCCAAATTTTATTTTAAAAACTCATTTTAGCAGGCTGTAACATCTCTTGCTCTTAATGAGAAATAAAGTGATTGCTTGTCTTAGCACACCTGTAAAGGCAATGGTACATCTCTGATTTGTCCAGTCTTTTGGCAAGTTGTAGTTTGTCCCAATACATAAATGTTCAGAAGTCTCAGGGCATCTTACAGGGCTTGGAAGATGAAAATCGATCCAAAATAGTCCAATAGCTTGAAGATGAGGTTAGTTTTACAGTGGAAAAGGAACTTCGGGAAGGACGAGGGCTCCTGGCAGGTTTGGAGTTGCCCATGTGCAATTCGAGAGGTCCAGAAAAGTTGGTAAGGTAAATTCTGACAGCAGTAAAGCCAGAGGGAAAAGGAGAAGGGCTGCTAGATTGAGTGCCCATAATGCTGCTTTCAGTTTTTAGTTCAGTAGCAGTTACTGGGCAGTGTAAAGGTACAAAAAGAGAGTGCTATTTATAGATAATGACTTATTGCTGGATCTAAGAAAAGTTAAAGGAAGCAAGAATTGTATATAATGGTGGTGGTTTGTTTCTAGATAGGGATTATGTTTGTAGCAATTGAAAGGATAGGCCAAAAAACTAAATTTAGCAGAATTTGGTGATTATCTAGAATAATTAAAGATGTTCCAGTGTCATAAGTTGAGGACATTGGGAGAATAATTATACCAATGCTTGTACTGAACAAGATAAGAAGAAATGGGGTTTTTTTTAAACATTTTTATTAGTGTAAAATAGTTGTACAGAGGTTTTGTAGCGATATTTCCATATATATATATATATATATATATGCACAGTGTACCCCAGTTCTATTCATCCCCTCCATTATTCTCCCTTTTCCCCTCCCCCTTCTTAAAATGACTTCAAGTTTCAATGTTCCATATTCATACATGTATAGAAAGTATATGAGCCATATTCACCCTCCTTGACCCTCTTTATTTACCCTCCCCTTCCCACTACTACTCTCCCCTTAAAATAATCTTTGATTTTACTGTGCTTGTTGAAGTATTCAAATAGATAATAAGTATCCAACTTAACTATTGGAGACAGTATTGTGTCTGTCCAAGAATTTCCAACATTCATTAGACACAAGTAGGATTACTTCTTGTCTATTGTTCCTTATTCACTCTGAAACCCATATTGTTAAATGTGTCCTATTTTGTGTCCTATTTTAAAGGTTAGGTAATGCTTTTGCTTTCTCTGTGAGTATAAAAATATCATACTCAATCTTTTTGGGGGCAGTATTAGGTTTTGAACTCAGGGCCTCACATTTGGTAGGCAAGCGCTATCACGAAAGCCATGCCCCCCAAGTGTTTTTTTCATGTTAGGTCTTTTCTGGATAGGGTCTCACATTATTGCCAGGAGCCAGCCTCAGATCACAGTCCTCCTACCTACCCCTCCTGCATAGCAGGGATTGCAAGCATGTACCACCACATTCAGCTTATTTAAATCTAGTCTTGCTAACTTTTTGCCAGGCTAGCCTTGAACTGCAATCCTAATCTCCAACTCCCAAGTTGCTGAGATTACAGCCATGAACCACCACACCCAACCTTGATCATTGGTTTTAAAAGACTTTAAAAAGGCACCCAGATCCCATGGTTTGGTAGTGCCATAAACAATACTATTGTTTTGAGGGTGTACATTTCAAAACTTAGTCTGTATAGCAATATAGCTAAGTATTAGTTACTCGAGATGGTTTTGGTTATAAACATTTAAATTGGAATGTTTCAGAAAATGTATTACATGATAAAACTTAACCTATCCTAAAATTTCTTTCAGGAATTGTTCCATCTTCCGTTGTCCTGACTTCTTTCCAGGTGATGTCAAGAGTTTTTCTGATATGGGCAGTAACACATAGTGTCAAAGAGGTAAGTAAAGTAAAATAGTGTCAGCACTAACAACCACCAGTGAGCTTTTCTTATGGACGTGTTTGTTATGGTTAAAGATGGAACTCTGGATCTTATCAAAATAGCCACAGTAAAGTCCATATGCATTGTAGGAATTAGATCAAAGTGGGAAACACACCCCATATCTGCAGTGTTGCTAAAGAGAAGACTGAATCAGCAGGGAAGTCCTGTGATCTTAATTCGAGTGGGTTCCTATGGAGGGTTGGTGTGGATGTGGACTGCAACTTAGTTATATTTTTGGGCATCTACATCCTTATAGTGGGACTAGGGGACACTGATTCGCCCTCAGGGCAGTCAATCTTCGTGAGACCAGGAAAAACAAATTTGTTTCCACCCAGCCAGCCCATCAGGGCTAATGGAATTGCCAAATGTGCTAAGACTGGCAATTCTGAGAGTGCTGCCTTTGGGCCTAGAATAAATAGAGGGCAAGTCCAGGAACGCTGCAAAAATTGGGAGGAGAAAGCCATCTTTACCACGAATGTGAATCTGCAACCAAGCTTTTGTTTTGTTTTGTTTTTGGTGATACTGTGGTTGAACCCAGGGCCTCAGGTTTGCTAAGCAAGCAGTCTTATTATTTAAGCCACTTCACCAGCCCTAAGCTTTTGTTTTGCTTTGTTTGAGGGAAGGGGTTCTGGTCTTTCAAATTTAGTCATTTTTTTACTGTCACCTTGTGGTAAAACACCTATAGGTACAAGAAAGATTCCTAGTCCCAGTGACCTATGACCAGCATCTTTGGATTCTTTGAAATTGCTTTTCTTTTAGAAGTATTCTGGTGTGTTCTTTGTCCTGTATTCTTCTGAAATCCTTGGTGAAACATTTTGGTTTTATGTTTTATTTTGACAGTTTCGTTTGTGTTTCAACTAGTGAGACTTTTTAAAACCTTTTTTGTTGTCCTGTAATATACATACAGAAAACAAACATAGCTAATGAGCTCTTAGCCAAAGTTTAATCAACTTTGATTAGTAAGCTATTATTTTTGTTACATTCATATTGAATTTGCTGATCAAATCTATGGGCTTTTTTTTTTTTTTTTTGAGATCTTTCTTCTTGAAGATGTCTAAACTTCCCATGCAGGAAGAATGCAAAATAATTGCATACTTTTTTTTTTAGTGATCATATTTCTTTAAAAGAAATAAAGTTAAGGAAAAATAGAAAACTAAATTCTAATTCACCATATTGCCTTTTCTCACTCTTCTCTTGTTTATGAAGTTGGGAAAGTTGCTTTATAATTCCATGTCATCTCTTTGTTCATTCTGAGTCTTTTCTACACATCATTTTAAACCTGTATTTCTTCCTCCCATACTATTTCCTTTTCATTATAACCATTATTGATTATGAATGAGTTATTTCATCATTTTATTTTCCAACAATCTCAAGTAACCTAAATTTTCTTTAGTTGAAACTCATTTGCCTTTTTTTTTTACCCCCTGTTTTTGGTGGTGCTGGGGATGGAACCCAGGGCCTCATGTGTGCTAGACAAGTTCTCTACCAGTGAGCTACACCCCCAACCCTCATCTACATTCTTTTTATTATTTTAAGTATGAAAATACATGAAGTCAAAGTATTACCCAGTTGGGAGTGTTCTGTCACTTTGCCAGTATAGTCAGATAGTACCTGTCCAGATGCTAACATGCCAGCTGTTCAGTGACTGATGCTCTGCTTGTTAGCACATCTGCTAAAAGGCATGAGCAAGTACCTTAAAAAACACTTACAGTTCAAATCAAGCAATTCTGTTGGTCAAATTGCTGCAAGCAACTTTTGCCTGGATTTCCTGGGCAGATCATTGAGATTGATTGGCTTAAGAAGCTATTAAATGTCTCTGTAGATTATAAATAAGTACATGGACCTGACCATTGTCCTCAATAAACACCCTGCCTACCATATGCATCAACTTAACATTTAGCAGATGGTTTCAACTGCTAAAGTCATCACATTTGAGCTTTACAGTATATTCTCATGACATTTGCATATTCAAAGTTGCTTGTCTACAACCAAAGTGACCCAATTTCTGGTTAACATTGGCACCAGTTTCTGAAGACTGGTGTAGTAAATTTTAAAATCTCTGTCACCTTTTGGATCCCCTTGTTTTTTAGTTGATTAATTGAATTTTCTTTGCTCAGATAAATTGGGCTCAACTCAAAGCTTCTGATCCACGATCCCAGTTCTTTTCTCTAAACAGAATTCCTCCTCATCATTTTGTTTATAGTAGTAGATTCCCTCTCCTGCCCTCCCCAAGTCTCTGACAGCTTAAGTTAAAAGCCTGTTGCTGTGGCTTTTCAGAGGCCTGACTGCTTGTTGTCTGTTACCTGTTTCTCAGTCCCTTTTCTTGACCAAATGCTGTTTTTATATTTTTTATAGTTTCACTGAAGCTATAACTCTGTTGTGTACAACATTACATGGCTTCCATTCTCCTGTTTCCTGAAGCATATAAAAATATCTGTTATTTTTTGCCTTATGTCCATCTCTGCTTACTTTAATGGTGGTAACAATATAACTAATGTATGCAGAAATTAACCTCAGAAATAACTTTCTAATAAAATGTATCTTACCATACACTGTCATTTCAGTTTCTCTTCATGCCACATTTCCCTCTAACGTGGAGAGCAAGAATTTTGCATTTTTATCAGAATCCCTTGGATTTGCCTATTGTTCCACCCTCCATGGTCTGCTTTGTTTCCTATACTCAGTCCCCTCAGCTTTCTGTAGTTGTATGTGATGTGCTAAGGAAAAGTCCATATACCTTTTAAGACTAAACTTGACTGTTTTCACATTTGAGGTATATTTTCTTTTAAGAGGCCTTGTAGTCCATGCATCCTTACTTGTCATTTTAATTCTCTACTCCATGGAATGCTAGTAACACAAATGTCACATATGTGGTGAAAATACAGTTTTCTTTTATGACATAAAGATTCACCTATTGGCTAGTGTGACACCTTGGTCACTAGGATGTTAAAAATAAATAAATAAACAAATAAACAACCTATTATTACACCATAAGCTCCTAGAAAAACAAAAACAAACCAAACCCAAAACCACAGGTGGAGAGAAATAATAAAGATCAGGGCTGAGATCAATGAGATTGAGTCCAAAAAACTGTGGGGAGCAGATTATGAGAGGCCTTTGAGAACTTGACATAAACACAGCTGTGTCAAATGATTGACAGGCTGAGTTTGGCACGGCCCCAGCCACAGAAGAGAGAGAAAGGCAAAATTCAGCCCAGCTGGTTTTCCTAAGTTGTTTAAGTTCAGAGAAGTAGAGAGCAGGTTTCTCTTGTTACCATGTCACACCCCTCCTGGAAAAATGTTACTCCACCTCCTTGTTTACCACTGGATATAAAAAACTCACTGAAGGAGGATGTGAGGTTTTTTGATGGGGGATGGAATTGCTGATTGACTGGTGTGCTTCTGAGTTATGCTAGAGATTAGAGGAAGCATGGGACAGTGCAAGTCTGAGCACCAAGACTCTAAGAGAGATTATACTAAAGAAAAATTAAAGAAAACATGGGATAGTGTGAGTCTAAGGGAAGAGACTTTAAAGAATAGAAAAGAAGACTTTAGAAGCAAGTTTTTAAAGAATAAGAGAAAAGAAGTAATGTAAAAGAAGAATTATTAGAGAAAAGAAGTAACGAGGCTGCTGTGCATCTCCATCTGAGCATCCAGCACATCTGGCACCAGCTTTCTGCATGTCTGTCTTCTATCGTTTGTCTTTTCTGCATCTCCAGTTGCCCCCAGTTAGGTTGGTAGAACAACAGCAAGAGAAAGCTCACTATAAAAAACTGTACAAAGAATCAATGAAACAAAAAGTTGGTTCTTTGAAAACATTAACAAGATCCATAAGCCCTTAGCCAACATGACAAAAGAGAGGGGGGAAAAGACCAAAATTAATAAAATCAGTGATGAAAAATGGGACATAACCACAAATAACAAAATCCAGAGAATCCTTAGACAGTACTCTGAAAACTTATATCAAGTAAACTGGAAAATCTAGATGAAATGGATAAATTCCTAGATGCATATAGCCAATCAAAATTGAACCAAGAAGATATTAAACACCTAAGTAGTTCTATTATATGCAATGAAATTGAAGTAGTAAAAAAAGTCTCCCTACAAAAAACAGTCCAGGACTTGACAGATTTATGGCCAAATTTTACCAAATCTTTAAAGAACTAACACCAATACTCTCAAACTTTTCTAGGAAACAGAAAGGGAAGGAACATTACCAAACTCATTCTACGAAGCCAGCATTACACTCATTCCAAAACCCAATAAAGACATAACCAGAAAAGAGAATTATAGACTAGCATCTTTAATGAATATAGATGCAAAGATTCTCAACAAAATACTGGCAAACAGAATTCAACAACATGTCAATAAGATCATACACCATGACCAAGTTAGTTTCATTCCAGGGATGCATTTGTAAATCCGTAAACATATAAACATAAAGCGTACAAACAGAAGCAGGGGCAAGAACCACATGATCCTCTCAGTAGATGTAGAAAAAGCCTTTGACAAAAATTCAACACCCTTTCATAATAAAAGCTCTGAAGAAACTAGGAATAGAAGGAATGTTCCTCAATATACACAAAGGCTATATATGACAAACCTAAGCCAACATCATACTAAATGGAGAACAACTGAAACTGTTCCCCTTTTTTTTTTTTAATTATTCTTTTATTATTCATATGTGCATACAAGGCTTGGTTCATTTCTGCCCCCCTGCCACCACCCCCTCCCTTACCACCCACTCCACCCCCTCCCGCTCCCCCCCCTCAATACCCAGCAGAAACTATTTTGCCCTTATCTCTAATTTTGTTGTAGAGAGAGTATAAGCAATAATAGGAAGGAACAAGGGGTTTTGCTGGTTGAGATAAGGATAGCTATACAGGGTATTGACTCACATTGATTTCCTGTGCGTGGGTGTTACCTTCTAGGTTAATTCTTTTTGATCTAACCTTTTCT